CTCATAATTTTCCAAATTATATTTTGATTTTTATTGATTTAGAAAAAGCTTACGATAATGTTCCAAGAGATATCCTTTGGAGAGTTCTCGAGAAGAAATGTGTTGATATGACTTATATTCAAGTCATTAAAGATATGTATACTAGAGCTGTTACTTGTGTTCAAACTGAAGGAGGATTGACAAAATATTTTCCTATTTCTGTTGGTTTACATCAGGGATCGACTTTAAGCCCATATCTTTTTGCTTTAGTTATGGATGGTCTTACTGGACATCTACAAGAGGATGTACCTTGGTGTATGCTTTTTGCTGATGATATTCTTCTCGTGGATAAAACGAGAGAAAAAGCCCAGGAAAAACTTGAATTATGGAGGTCTACATTGGAGTCTAAAGGCCTTCGTTTAAGTAGAACTAAAACTGAATACATTGAATGTAATTTTAGTAGTAATAGCTCTAGTGACAGAAGTGTGCCTTTGGGTGATCAAATTATTAAAAGGTGTGAACGATTTAGATATCTTGGGTCCGTTGTCCAAAGCGATGGTGATATAGATGGGGATGTTAATAGTAGAATTCAAGTTGGTTGGTTGAAGTGGAGGAATGCTTCGGGCCTTTTGTGTGATAGAAAAGTACCGCTTAGACTGAAAGGAAAATTTTATAAGATGGTGGTGAGACCTGCAATGCTCTATGGCGTTGAATGTTGGCCTTTAAAAGAGAAGCATAATAATAAGTTAAGTGTTGCCGAGATGAGAATGATTAGGTGGATGAGTGGCTTTACACTTAGAGACAAAATGCGGAATGAATATATTCGTGATAGGGTTGGTGTAGCTCCTGTGACAGACAAAATTAGAGAAAGTCGTCTTAGATGGTTTGGTCATATTAAACGTCGACCATTAGATGATCCGATTAGGAGAGTAGATGTTTTAGATTCGACTTGTGTTAAGAAAGGCAGAGGTAGACCTAGGAAGACTTGGGCTTATTGTATTAAAAATGATCTTAATTTACTAGAACTAAATGAAAATATGACACTAAATAGGACGCAATGGAGAAAAAGGATTCATGTAGCCGACCCCACGTAGTGGGATTAAGGCTTTGTTGTTGTTGTTGTTGTTGTTTTAAATGAATTCATAGTAAACAAAACTATGGCAAAACTGTCATTCAGAGCAGTCATCCCTTTCAATCACCATGGAGAACCTATCAAACCAAGGTCTTTATGATTATTTTAAACCCACATACAAATTTCGTAAATCCGCAGACTTTAATTGTATTGCTTCTATTCTCAAATCGAAAAGGAATTGTCAAATAAAGGCACTTCTGCTTCAGGTTGATAGAAAGACCGCTCTAAATTTATAATAAAAGAGAATTAGTTTGATATTCATCATCTTAACAATTCTGGAAAAAAATTTTCTTGATAATGAATACCATTTATTTGAGTCAAATCTTTTGCCACAAGTTTTATTTTGAATTGGCTAACAATTCTAATTGATCAATTAATATTTACATCCACTTTATATTTCACACTGAAGCTCCATCATCAAACAGGTTTCTTTCCTATGGAAGATTTGAAATTTCCAAGCACAATTTTTTTAAAGCCCAAATATTTCATAAACAACATTTTCTATAAAGAAAATTTTAAACTGTTTTAATGTTGTACATAATTTACAAACTAAAAAGATTTATTAAAAAAACATAATATATGAGATAATCTGTCTTTAAAAATATAATGATAGTTAGGATGACTTCATGAACATCTTAAGCTTTTCATTTGAGCAGCAATAGGAATGTTTAGTTCATCATCGAAATCAATAATATTTTATCATTTTGAATTGATATTAGGACGTCAGTCAAACACCGCATTTAGTTCTAAATAAATGTTTTGCTTTACAGTATCAATTGAATTTTTTTTGTCGTCTATAATAGGAATAGGCAATCCCTTTGTATCATGCTCGTTGCATGTGATCTTAAGCCTGATATTAGAGTAAATTTGAGAGAGGTGTAGGTTCAGATGCAAATATTATCACAACACAAATATTGATAAATAGAGTTGATATAGTCCCTCTGAACGTGAGTATTGAAGAAGAATGATTGCTTTCAAATGCTACAACATGTTGAGGTTATATTTTTTATTATAAAAAAATAGCATTTATATTCCTGTCAGTCAATAAAGTAGCAAATAAAAATGTATTTTATCACTCTTTGGCTTGCTTTGCTTTATTGATGAGAAAAAATATGCACAAAAGCAGAGCAGTCAAACACTTTAAGAGGAATGGTTGATGTAATTTTAAACTTAACATATGGTTGGATGCGTGTTTGACAGAAAATTTTGAATTTTAGGATTATGGATGGCATATGATTATTGAGACATACAACAGCATGGATAGCCTCCCCCAAAATAATATTTGGAAATGTTATTAGTGATAGTAATTGATCGAGCTGTCTCCAAAAGCTTCTATTTTTTCTTTCTATTATCTCATTTTCCAAAGTATAGATACAATCAGTTCGATGAACTTATTAAAGGGGACAATCCCCAAGAATAAAAAAATATATATTCTTCCACGTTAGTTCCTGAGGACTTCAAATTGAATTTTGAACCGAATCTATACAAGGAAGTGAAATTTATGGAAATCGAAGTAACCATCAATGAAAGATATAAAACACTTAGAGCCCAAGAATTGTTCACCCGAGATGGGCCTTATGTATAGCAATAGATGGTTGCAAATGATTCGGAAGCCTTACAAGAATGAATAGGGCAGAAAGTATGAGTTTATTTAGATAATTGATAATTCACATTGAAATGCTCCGAGAGGTGCATTGATGAACAAAGAAGAATATTTTTTTAGGTACATGAAATTTGGATTATCAAGGTAAAAGTCTCACAACAGGATTATGCTTTCATTAGTGAAATTAGACAATTTTCAAATTAGACCACTAACTCCTTGCAATGTGTCATTTTAATCTTAGAATCTATAAAAATGTCAATTGGGTCCTAAGTCCTAATTTAAAGAATCTGTGGACTAATCTGACACTTACCATGGGATTGAAACAACTCCTTGTAAATAGTCAATGGACCATTTTTGCACTTTAATCTTAATGAAATATACAAACCAGGTATATTTCTCTTAACTTCTAGGACTCTGTTGCTTAACTTAGGAGGTAGAGATTAACATTATTTTTCCTTGCAAGTTACCCTTCTCAATTCTCTATCTTAAAATTCACAATGAATAAGAAGAAATTAGTAATATAGTTCATATCTGAAATGATTTTGTTAACTGATAATAAATTACAAGAAAGCCTAGGGATCGGGATCACTCATTTTGATTTGAAACAAAAAATATTAGGCATATTCAATTACAATATGATTATTTTTAAAAACACTCAAAAGGCATATTAATTTATTTTTATAAGAAAAAAATATAAAAAACACACAACAATTATGATTTCAAAATAAAAGAAAAAATAAATAAATTAAAAATTAAAAGAAATTGATCCCAGAAAGTCCTTAAAAAAAATAATTGAATTAATAACCAGTGAGCTAGTTACATTGATGGTCATAATGCCAGCTACTTGCAATGTTGATCTATTAAAGATTATGGCTTTAGAATCCTTTACGAAAAGGAGAGTTTAAAATACGATGTCATCTTCTATCATATGATTACAGGAGTCCACCATAAAAGAGTTGTATTCCATTTTGGACAATGAAAGTATTCAATATCATACCTTTTTGAGCGATCATATTGATGATGATTCTACTAAAAAAAAATAATAATTTACATTGGATAATCAAGGTTTCTTGGATATTAGTGCAGCCATGAGATATTGATTCATGGCAGGAGGTAAAACTAATTGAGAATCTTCTTTTCAGGGCCATTTCGGGTTTAACCATCATCATTATTTAAATAAAGAAATTCCTAAAGGATGAAAAAGACTAAGAATTTTAAAAAGATGTGGAAGAAGGAGAAGCGTAGAGGATAGAAAATGGAGAAGAATGAGAGATAAAGAATTGAATCTCTAATAAAATGTTGAAAACCATAGAGGAGAATCGTATCTTCAAATTCCAATAGGTAGAAGAGATAAAATGTTTATAGGAAAAAACACAGCCCAATTGGAGAACCTTAATTTGGAAATAACCAAGTTGCAAAAATCAGCCATAATTGAGCCCAAAAGGGAAGGGAAAACAAGAATAAAAAACGCCTAGCTAATACAATAGCGTATATAATGAATGCACAATTTTAAATTTATTCCACTTTTAGGAAAAAAGTGACTATAGGACAGCAGGATGAGCTAGCTGTGGCATGCAACTTAGAAGCATGGCCGTAGGAGGCATGGAGGTTGTATGATGGTCCAGGAGGAGGCACAGAGACCAGCTTGCATTGGCTGGGAAGGTTGTATGCAGGTAGGAGATGATTGTAAGCTACAAAATGAATGCTAAAAGAGCAGAGGCAAGTTGGGTGCAAGCTGGCAGCATTTCTGTTGTTGGATTTGATTGCATGAGCGGAATTAGGAGCCGATTTCAGGATTTTCAAAATATAACACACTTTTCCTCTATTTTACTTGCATTACTCATCTTATTTCAGCATTATTTCCAATATATGTTGGAAAGAATAAAAAAATTAGTATGCATTACAGCAAACAGGGGGATCCTAGTTCAGGATTCAAAAGAATCTATGGATTTTAATTCATGAGATAAGTATTTCGTATTTGGTATTTATTATTATTATTATTATTATTATTATTATTTTGATGTCAACTAAGGTGCAAGATGAGAAATTTCCACCTCTGCTAATAATGTCACTGTCCACATATGAATGGACTGCTAACTAAAAATTGGGAAGTTAGCACGCCCTTAAAATCATAAGGATTGTGGGTTAAATGTTAGCATAGATGAATTTGAAGAGGGTATAAAAATCCTTGCCCTGCTAAAAAATTAATGAATCCATATGAGAGATGCCACCTAAAGACATGCTAGTAATGTGCAAAAAAATTAGTTATGAAGAAAAATTAGGTACCTTTCCGTACTTCTGACTTCTTGCCTGCAAATGCAAGCTTCCATCATGCTGGAAACCACGTACTTCGGCCTGATAAGAAGTCAATAGAACAAATATTGGTTTCAATGAAGTTACTGAGGTACAGGAAAAGTAAATTTACAGGAACAGAAAACAATCGTGATCAAGACAAGATAATACGAGCTTATCCTAAACAGAAATCTATCAAAAAGAAAAACACACACAAACTCAAGTCAATACCCATTATTGTGACTTGAAACAAATTAAAAATATGGAACCACAAGAAAGCATACACTTATCTGAAATTCACGATCGCGGAGATAAATTTTTGTTTTTTGCTCATGTACGAGCTATTGAGCCCACTGCAGGGCTGATATGTCATTTGAGTTTAATTTTTATTCTATACTTGCACAATATATTGCTCTTTTTTATCATTATCATCCATCATTAAAACGTAACTTTATTTTTATCTCACAATTTTAAATTTAACTCACCATTGCATTGCATAAGATCCCATTAAGATCACTCGTCTTGCCTTGTATTATCGATTCAAATTTTGGTAGCATTATAGCATCATCAACCGTGAATGTTGGGTCTGCCCGCCGTACCAAGAAATATATGTAGCATATGTAACTACTAATCTTCTACTCCAACATACTAAGAAAGACATGTATGAATTTTTATACCCGCACACAAATTCTGCTATCATATCAAAAAAGATAGGCACAAGCAATTCTTATTTTCAATGATTTTTTTGGTCAAATATTCTTTCTCTACCACACCAAAAAGGAACATAAAGTTTTCACCTACAAAAGAAACTTGTGAAGACAAGATTTCCCCATTTGTTTCAGAAAATATACTTATAGATACTATTTTTTTTACAGACCGGTTATTTCACATTTACACCATGTGCACTCGAGTCACAAAATTGATTTTGATGCAATGAATTTGCATAAGATCAAAATTACACACTGAAATTGTTTATCATTCGTCACCCTTCTCTTTTTCTTTTCTCTCTTTTCTTTTTTCCTTCTTCTATGTTTTTTCTTTTTCTTATAATTTTTTAGAGAGAGAAGGGAGAGAAAATGGAGAGCGACAAATAAGTGGTGAGGCGATTTTAGAGGGAAGAGAAAGAAAGATGGCGGGAAAATGGAACAATTAGTATTTTGTAATAGATTTGAATAGGATCTCAAAGGGATTTAAGTTAAATTCTACCAAATGTAAACAAGATTTGGGTAGTCTTTAGATGGATTCAGCTTTGATTCTACCAGACCGGAAAATTATAACTTCAAATCCTACAAAATTTAGATCACATTTCTCCCTCATTTTTTGGTTTGGGCAAATCCAGGCATTGGGACGTTTTAGCTTGAGCCTGTAAATCACATGGACACTCGCCGGCACATCAATGACTTTGAGAGCAAGCTACAATTCTAGCTTCCTCACTTCTATTACTCGAGAGTTTCAAAAATTTGAGTATGGCTGAAAGGGAGAAGGATGAGGAACCATGTGGGTAGCATTGTCGAGGGGGGTTGAAATTTTTGGGTTCTTAGTTTGGGGCGGAGAGAGTTGATTGAGGGGAAGATCATAAAAGAAACAGGGCATGAGCACGCCAGCAAACTAGGGCAAAAGAAGAGTAAAAGGGGTGAGTGATGATTCATGGCATGAAAGATAAATGGATCGAGAAACATACCCAAATTTTTCCACATTGTGGGGAATAAAATAATTATATATACGACGGCCTTTCTCTGGTGAGATCTTTCCTGCTTTATGGTTTTGGCTTCTCCCTCGCTCTCGGTTTCTTCTCTCGACTTCTCTTTTTCTCTACGGTTATGGTAAAGACGTATGCTGGGGTCACTGTGGGGGTTTCTTCCTCTGGGTCTCCTCCGAAGTTTGCTTTCCATCTTCTTTTCACAAATCACTTATTCTCGGTGGGGAATACAGTTTCATTAAATCTCAGGAACGTAAGGGGGAGAAGTGTGAGCTTTTTCTCTCCAATTCTAAAAACTTTATTCTCGCCTCTGCTTGTCATTTCCATCTTGTTGGTAAGTTCCTTTATGGGCTTCCGAAATATGATTTTTTGATGAAGAACTTTGATCTTTTGATATTATCGGGGGGGTTGGAAGATTGGAGCTCTGGACAACCGGCATATTCTGATCCAACTCTCTAACGAGGATGATTATGCTAAGTTTTTTGCACGTATAACTGTTCATTTTGGTGATATTTGGATTAAGGTCCTTAAATGGACAACGGAGTTTGACCCTAAGACCGAGCATCCTATTATTCCTGCTTGGCTTAGACTTCCAGATCTAAAGGTGCATTTGTTCAATCACGAAATTTTGTTTTCTATAGTTGTCATGTATGGTAAACTTTTAATGAGAGTCACAAAGGGTTCACCTAAGGCTGTTGATCCTATAGGAACTCAATTTCGGGCCCTCTACATGTTGGTCCTTAGCCCTTGCAACTAGAAGTTGAGTGTTTGGAACCACTCATGCGAGTTCTTCACAAAAATGAGTCAAGAAGTGGCTTGAAGTTCTACGGGGGGTGGGCTCCATTACTAGTCCGCTAGGATGGTCAACCAGGAACTCCTAAGGCTAGATTATAGGTTCTAAGAGTAGGAGACTAAGACCTCACTAAAAATGAGGTCAACAACTGGTTATTGGCAGCAGGTTTTGCTTGAAAAACATTCTCACTACTGTTTGCATTTTAGCATGTTTGGTCATGATTCTGATCATTGTTTCCATTTGCACCTCAAATTGAGGAAATTCCCTGTTGGTCGTTCTGCTGAGCAGAAATATGCTCTTCGAACTAACATCTCTGAACCGGTTGTTCAGTTTGTTGATGTTTGCGTGGGTCGATGTTTGTGTGGGTCCTGTTGATCTGGTTGCTCCCTGTTGGGAGGCAACTAGTGTAGCTCATCTCGTGGAAGCAGCAGTTGATGCAACTTGTGTGGGTCCTCTTAGAACTGATGAAAACGTTGAACCTATTTATACACCTGAACCGGAACCCGAGCCACATCCCACTCAGATACCTACTGTTTCACTTAATTAAATTGAGGCACTTGATCCCCCACAAGCAATCATTCATCCTTCTACTTCTGTGGTTACTCCATCACAACCGAATCCATCCTCTTTGGCTGCCTCTGCTTTAGAATCTGAATGACAAATTCAAAAATATAGTAGGAAAAGAGGGAAAAGGAGATTTGAACTTCCAAATATGACACAAGCAAACAATATTGATGTCACGTATCATTCGGAGGGCGAGCATTTGCACCTTCCCCCTAGGTTTGCTAGGTGGGAGGGTGTCATGGGCCAAAATGTTTAATATTCTGGTGTGGAACATTAGAGGAGTGGTGAACCCTCACTCCTTTAATCGTTTAAAGCATTTATGTAGGGTCCATAAACCTGACATTTTTGTTCTTTTGGAACCTCTTGTTTCAATCCATAAAGAGAACATCATTAAAAAATTCAAGGGTTACATGTATTTCTGTAATGTAAATAATAAAATTTGGTCTTTTGGCAGAAAGATATCACTCTCAGCATCATTGATGATAATGTGCAATATGTTCTTATTCATTATCGGTTGGAAAATTATTTTGGTCAGGCTACTTTTATTTATGTCAGCTCTCTTTTATGGGATAAGCTTCCTCTTTGGCAGCAACTTACTCATATGGGTGCTACTATTACTGAAAATTGGTTCGTCGGGGGGGATTTAAATAT